CGGGACATTCTCTACTAATCGGGATCCTTTCCGTTTGCAGGTAAGAAGTCGAATGTGTTGTATGTATCTCGTGTAAGCGATGTTCCTCAGCTCGTAGGATGTCGATCGACATGGCCCATTCTCGGAGCCGTGGTTGGCTTCTTGGTCTGGATTGCGGCGCGTACTTCAGCAGGGAATACGTAGTGGTATTTCTCCAGTGGGATAACGGGGTTTGACACGCGTGTTGATGAGCGGATGAGATCGATGTAGAATCGCTTCGTGATGGATTCCATCTTCTATCGGGAAGATGCGCGAGTCCCGTCTTTGTTTAGTAATGTTGTTAGCGAAACACAGTAGTCGAGAAGGTCCCGCGATAGTTCTTTGACTTCTCTTTCCTTACGCTGCTTTCAAAAGTTTTGCCTGCTCTTTCGAAAAACTTCGCAAAGCTGTTTTGCAACTGGTATTCAACTAGACGCTCGAGATGCAATGCAGTCGGATCCCTTGCTCTCCTCCTCTCAAGCAAATCCTTGGTGGCTTTCAAAATTTGCTAATTCGTTGTTTGATGCATTTAGGCACTTCACCATAGGATATCAGCCCTCTAAATTACAGTACGAGTCTTTCGTTGGGTCCTCCTCGAGCCTGGTCACAAGTGGTCAGGAGCTTCTTCAATCTGACGCCGTCATGTACGACTTCTCTCCTTCCTCCCAGAAGGTGACAAATTTTCTTTTCCTGCTTTCAAGTGAATCATACTTTTGCTCGAAAGAGACGGTGTTCTGAATTACTGCTGAAGGATAGTACCATTGAGGCATCCAGTAAACAATACCTTCTTTTGGCGAGAATAGTCGGGGCATCAAGGAAGTACATTTCCGGTCTAGTTCTCAACCCCGAAACCGGTTATGTGGAAAGTACTTTCTAAAATTGACCTTGACTCTAATTATATCTTTGTAATTTTCTTCGTTCAGATTGTCTGCATTACAACCCGTGTGGTCGATCTCCGTACGTGCCGTACGTCAGGCGACTCTTATGTCCACCAATGTTGTTCTTCCCTCATAAAGATGGAGTTGCTATGACAAGTCTTGCGTGGATAAGAGCTCAATGAAACGGTTTTCATTCTCATTCTGGAGTCCTGATCCAAATCTTCCAATCCTAGTTCCCCCTTTCTCTGGAATCCCAATTTTCGCATTCGCCACCTACGGATTTGTAGAAAAGATTCTTTTTGGGTAACTTCCTCCAAATCTCCATAAAAAGCATCTATTCTGCGCCATCAGCTGATGATGTTGGAATATAGCACCTGATGATAGCGAAATTTTTCTGATGCAAAGGACAGGGTTGATGGGTAGTCGAAGTCACCCACAGATGGCCAAGCGAGATGATAGGTTCTCATGCGAGTCGACAAGATGGACAGCAGATGGGTGTACAAATGCAACGCCTCCAGCGTTCTGTGATGGAACTTTTGCACCACGAATGATAAGTTGCCGTCGCCCTAGCTGAAGGATAGCTACCTCATGTTTGTCCTCCTGGACTTATTCCTGCAAGGCGGTGACGTGGTAGTTGAGCGCCCTGCAGCTTCGAGAAGGGTGTGGAGGTGACACCGGTGGAGATTGTCCCGGCACAATAGGTGCAGTGTATGAGACAATCTTCAGGGCGAGTACCGAGTCCTTTTGGTTCGATATCCATTGTGTCCTGTGCAATCTGTCGCTGGCTTTGATGTCTGACGCCGGAGATGTGACCAGTCTGTGGGCTTTTTTTCTACACGCTGTACAGGCGATAAGATTTTTTGCAAACTAAGCGCTTGCCGGGGCGTGCTAAGCTTTTACCACAAACGTCGAACTTCTTCTCAGTTTGGAAGATCCTGCAATGATAAGCCTTCGCTGTGCAGTACGACACTGAGAGCACTCCCGCGCCATGATAAGGCGGTAGACATCAGCGAGGCTCACCAGGTTATTCTAATGAATATGGATTTATCATAAAAAATTTAGGATGAATCAGTGCTAAAACAATAACTAATCAAAATACCAATTGTAAGATTTATTTTTGCCGTTTCTTCCTCTAATTTCCTCTCTATTATTTCAGCAATTTTCCCACAAGCAAAAAGTATCCGTCGAACCAAATCCTAGATGTGGCTCATACTTCACATCCAAGAATAGCTGAATTCTTAACTGCTTTGCTCACATGCCTCTTTAAACAACTATACTTCTTCCACAATTTCTTCATCGTGATCACACGGCCATCTCCCCGATACTTAGCTCAAAGAGAGCTGTGTGGATGTGAACTTATAGGAATACGACACCTAAAGGACACAACGACCGAGGCCCACAGAGTTGATACATGGAATAAATACGTTCTGTAATAACATCTCGACTGACATGCTGCCCAATTGATAACTTTCAGACAATGTGAGCTATTGCCTATCTATTCAAACAGAAATGAGATGATTGCCCGATTTTCGATGTAATTTATGATGTTATTTGATGTTCCAACAAATGCATACAACAAGATTTCATTGTCAGAGCAATAATTAAGTACTGTGTTATCTTCCAAAAGATCACAAAAGAAACACCTAACACGTAACGTTACTCTGTTGCAATTTTAAATCAAGCAATCTCTGAAAATACAAAACAGAAAGAAAATCAAGCAATGACTAGAATGGGTTTCACTAATGCTTTAGAATTATTGACAAATCTATCTATTGATTCTAAGCGAAGAAAGCTTGCCATTATAACGATCTGGTTGTTGCAATATTTCCAGTACTTTTCATGAAATGTTGAGACTACTACAATAACGAAAAATACTTCACAACTCGATGCCTATAACCAATCAAAATTATTCCTTTTTATATTTTTTCCATATTGTCATATTCAAACAAAATTTGCACAGCTTCACAAATAAATACACAATAAAAGCGGCAATAGTAATAAAGAAGGCAATCACATCGATGCAGTAAAACTGGAAGACGTTAAGATTCTTACCATACATATCCAAGTTGTGAATTTTGCCATGTCGTGCTGAGAAGCCGACTGTTGACAGTACCCTCTCCTTTAGAGGGAAAGGCTTAGTGACCATTAATGATGCCAATCGCTTTGCTCGAATGGAAAAACTAAAGAAGGTGTTTCAAAAGACTACCAAGCAGAGGCAATAAGCAACTGAATTGCTAGAAGAGTCTGCAGTAACGAGAACCACTAAGAAC